GGGCGTCGCCCGCGTGGTCCTTCAGTGGAGGCCGCGCGACTGCGCTCAACCCGCCTCGCTATAGCTAGCGGGTGAAAAAAATGAGTCCGCATGCGCGCGGCGGCTGCAGCCGCGCCCAACAACTCGAGCTGCAGCTCCATGCTGCGAGGGGCTGCAGCTGCAGCGGCGGCCCCTCCTCCTCCTTATGCGCATCCCGTCCCCTCCTCCTCGCCCCGTCCTCCCTCCATCGTCGCGATGGCGTTGATATGATTCAACATACGCTAACGTACTTTAAGTTGCTTTAACTTACTTTAACATACTTTGGCTAACCACTTAATTTGAGTTAGCTTTCGTTAGCTTTCCTTAACATATTTTAACATACTTTAGCACGGTTTACCATGACTTACATAGCTTTACATATACCTACATAGCACCCTAGCTGTCGTTAACTTCCTTACCCCAAAGCTGAGTCATGTTAAGCATTAACTAAATCAAGTTAAACCAACTTAAACCATCTTAAAGCTTAACTAAACCAACTTAAACCATGTTAAGTCTTATAACCCTTAGCTAAGCCAGAATGCATCCGAGCACCCTCCCGGGCCACCCTCCCGGGCCACTCTCCCGGGCCACCCTCCCGGGCCACCCTCCCGGGCCACCCTCCCCTCCCGGGCCACCCTCCCGGGCCCAGCCACCCTCCCGGGCCACCCTCCCGGGCCCACCTTCCCGGGCCACCCTCCCGGGCCACCCTCCCGGGCCACCCTCCCGGGCCCTACCCTCGGGGACCCTCCCTCCCAGGCCACCCTCCCGGGCCACCCTCCGGCCGACCCTCCCGGCCCCACCCTCCCAGGCCACCCTCCCGGGCCACCCTCCTGGGCCACCCTCCCGGGCCCCACCCTCGGGTTTCTCCCGGGCCACCCTCCCGGGCCACCCTCCCGGGCCGCCCTCCCGGGCCACCCTCCTGGGCCACCCTCCCGGGCCCACTCTCCCGGGCCCACTCTCCCAGGCCCACCCTCCCGGGCCACTCTCCCGGGCCACCCTCCCGGCCCACCCTCCCGGGCCACCCTCCCGGGCCACCCTCCCGGGCCACCCTCCCGGGCCCCACCCTCGGGGACCCTCCCGGGCCCACGGGGGCCCTCCTCCCCCTCGTCGTCGTCGTCGTCGTCGTCGTCGTCGTCGTCGTCGTCGTCGGCGGCGCCCTTGGAGGAGAGGGGGGCGGATCCGGCCGTGGCCACGGCGCGGGGGCACCGGACGCCCCGAAAGCCCAAAACAGCCGAAAAGCCGGAGGCCGAACCTCGAACCTGGAACCTCGGTCCTCCTCCCTCGACGGCAGCGGCGACGACGGCGGCGGCGGCGTTTCGCGCGCCGCTCGTCGCAAAGGCTGGATCCGCCACGAAATCCTCGTCAGAACGCTGAGCTGGGCCCCCCTCCGGGGCCCCCGAGGCCCGCAACGGCCAGCGACGACGACGACGACGACGACGACGACGACGACGACGACGACGACGACGACGACGACGACGACGACGGCCCCGGCGGCGACGAGGGCCCCCGGTCCGGCCCCGGACCCCCCGGTCCGGACAGCTCGCTGTCCACCTCCTCCCCTTCCACCTCCTTTTCTTTAGCCTGGCGGCCTCTCGCGCAGCAAGCGGGCGTCGGGTCAGCCGGATCCAAATCGAATCGCGAACCGGATCGTCGCCCGCTCTGCACCGGATCGCAATCGAATCGCTCGGCAACCGAATGGAATCGCGAACCGGATCGTGGCAGGGGGCCTCCAGCATCGAATCGGCATTCGCGGCGATGCGATTCGCCGAATCGAACCGACCCGGATCGAATCTCGCGCGGACCTCTGTTGCCGCCCAGGCGCAGCTCCTGCAGGCCGGGCAGGGAGGGCAGCGCCCCCGCCAGGGCCCGCGCGCCCTCGTCGCCGATGCAGTTGCTGTACAGCAACAGCCGCTGCAGGCCGGGCAGGGAGGGCAGCGCCCCCGCCAGGGCCCGCGTGCCCTCGGCGCCGATGCTGTTGCCGTGCAGCGACAGGTCCTGCAGGCCGGGCAGGGAGGGCCCGCGCGCCCCCCGTCGGGAAATCGTGATATCGCATCGCCTGGAACCGGATCGCTGCGAACCGCAAGCGAATCGAACCGGAAACCGGATCGCGACCTCGCCGAATCGAATCGCGGACCGGATTGCGACCCTGTCGAATCGAATCGCTAACTGGATCGCGCGAGTGGATCGCGGCCCCGGGACCCTCCTGGCGTGGGCCTCCCCCCTCTCTCCCTCCTCCTCCCTCCTCCTCGGGACCCTCGGAGACCCTCCCGGGCCACCCTCCCGGGCCCCCCTCCCGTCAGGGACCCTCCCGGGCGCCCCTCCCGGGCCCATCTCCCGGGCCACCCTCCCGGGCCACCCTCCCGGGCCACCCTCCCGCGGTCGTGGTCGCCAGGCCCCGCCCTCGGGGCCCACCCTCCCGGCTCCCCTGGGGGACCCTCTCGGGCCACCCTCCCGGGCCTCCCTCCCGGGCCTCCCTCTCCGTCGGAGACCCTCCCGGGCCACCCTCGGGCCATGCGCACCCTCCCCTCCCTGGGTCGTGGTCGCCCCCCCGGGCCACCCTCCCGGGCCACTTTCCCGGGCCCACCCTCCCGGGCCACCCTCCCGGGCCACCCTCCCGGGCCACGTGGAACCCCCCCGGGCCGCCCTCCCGGGCCCCTCCCGGGCCACCCTCCGGGCAACCCTCCCGAGCCACCCTCCCAGGCCACCCTCCCGCCCTCCCCGGGCCCACCCTCCCGGACCCACCCTCCCCACCCTCCCGGGGGCCACCCTCCCGGGCCCACCCTCCCGGGCCACCCTCCCGGGCCCCACCCTCCCGGGCCCACCCTCCCGGGCCACCTCCCGGGCCACCCTCCCGAGCCGGGCCACCCTCCCGGGCCACCCTCCCGGGCCCACCTCCGGGCCACCCTCCCGGGCCACCCTCCCGGGCCCACCCTCCCGGGCCACCCTCCCGGGCCACCCTCCCAGGCCCACCCTGCCGGGCCACCCTCCCGGGCGGCACCACCCTCCCGGGCCACCCTCCCGGGCCACCCCGGGCCACTCTCCCGGGCCAGTCCCGGGGCCACCCTCCCGGGCACCCTCCCGGGCCACCCTCCCGGGCCACCATCAGACCACCCTCCCGGGCCACCCTCCCGGGCCCACCCTCCCGGGCGCACCCTCCCGGGCCCACCCTCCCGCGCCCACCCTCCCGGGCCCACCCTCCCGGGCCCACTTTCCCGGGCCCACCCTCCCGGCCCACCCTCCCGGGCCACCCCTTCGGGCCCACCCTCCCACGGATCCACGAGCATGGAAAAAATTGAAGCTCGCGGATCCGCTCCAAAAATTGACCTTGCCAAACAAGCAAAAGCTTGCCAAGCGAGCAAAAGCTTGTCATACCGAGAAAAAGCTTGTCATGCCAGAGCAAAAGTTGGTCATGTCTTGTTGTCTTGGGCCGAAAAGCTTGTCACCCACGTATGTAGATATGTACATATATATACATATTTATATATATATATATATATATATATATATACATACATACATACATACATACATACATACATGCACGCATACATCCATACATACATACATACATACATACATGCATACATACACACATACATACATACATACATACATACATTCATACATACATGTGTACATACGTACATACATATATACACGCATGCATAACTTTATACGTACATATATACATACACACATGCATACATACGTACGTACATACATACATACATGTAAACATACATACATGCATGTATATACATTCATGTATGCATGTATACAAATATATTTATATATGTGTGTGTATCTGCATACATGTACGTACGTAGTTGTATCCACGCACACACACACATACATCTTGCGACGATCATGGGCCCGGAATGAACTCCGCAAGCGGCTGGATGAATCTGTCTGGTTTTAGCACGGTTGGCACGCACTGCGCGCCACGTATTGGTGGCGACGGCCGCTTAGACACAACGGCGGCAGGAGGGCGACGGAGAAGGGAGGAGGGGATGAGGAGGAGGAGGAGGAGGTGGAGGAGGAGGAGGTGGAGGAGGAAGAAGAGGAGGAGGAGGAGGAGGAGGAGGAGGAGGAGGAGGAAGAGCAGGAGGAGGAGGAGGAAGAGGAGGAGGAGGAGGACGAGGAGGAGGAGGAGGAAGAGGAGGAGGAGGAGGAGGAGGAGGATCGAGGAGGAGGAGGAGGAGGAGGAGGAGGACGAGGAGGAGGAGGAGGAAGAGGAGGAGGGGAGGAAGGGCTGGAGAGGGATGGCGGGGGCGGGTGGGCAACGAAACACTGGGAGGGAAGAAAATGGGAGGGAGGCTCAGATCTGACATGGGGAGGCGGACCATTGTCCAAATCATGATGCTGCTCTACTCTCTCTCGGCAAGGAGGAAGGGAAGGAACGGTGAGGCCAACCGGCCTCGCGTCCAACATCAATCAACACACGCCTTCGATGAAGAATAGACGATGCATGTGGTGATGCAGAAAGCAACCGTTAGCTCCACCGCCACATTTCTCGAGGCGGTGCGTGCGGCACGTCACGGTATATCCAGGCACAGGCCTAGCTAGAGTCGACAGCGTGCGCGCTGTCCAATCCCCCCTCCACGTGCATGTACATCCCGTTGCATGTACATCCCCTCCACATGCATGTACATCCCCATCGTTCATTGCAGTCTCGTTCCCTCCTCCCTTCCGTTCCTCCTCCCCTCCCTCCTCCCCCACCCCTCCTTCCCTCCTCCTCGCCTCCCTTTCTCTGTGTTTTGCTGTCCCTCCCCGAGTCGGGAGACCGTTGGAGCGCGGGCGTCTAACCGTTGCGGTTCAAAGAAAAGTGAAACAGACGTGAAACGTGCGTGTGAAACATGGTGAAAGGGGTGAAAGTGTGAAACATGCGGTGGACAACTGGCGGGTCTAGATCAGCAGCATTCGGGAAGCACTTTCTGTAAGAATGCTGTGTAAAAGGTGCCCCCGTGGGAAAGGCTCTTGGCCACTAGGCCTTGCAGTCTGTTCTCCCGCCCGTCCGCGTAGGTCCAGAACGTCTTAGGGTTGCCCTTGAAAGGTACTTGCCTGGCCATTTCGAACATCATGTGGAACTTAAACACAAGGTGCCCGTCTGCATGCTTCCAGAAGTTCAAAAAGCGAAGTGTTGCTTTCTGGTATTCCTGCACGCCGCTGTCCGACATGACTCGTGGCTCCCTGTCCATGATGTTGTGCACAGCTTGCAACTCCTTCACAGCTAAGGTGATCATGTTAGATTTACTGCCCAGATAGCTTGAGCTCTCCGAACATAGCTGTCCCAGCAGTGGAAGAAGGTTTCTCGTTTGGGCGGCCTTCGCTTTCAACCGTGGGGGGCCAGCAGGCGTCAGCATCTTGTAGGTGAGCTTTTGAATCCGAGACATACTCTTGGGGTCGAAGTTGTTCGTCTTGTAGTAAGAACTGAGCCGTCGCCTCAGATGAATCATGTTGTCAACTCGCCTCAGCTCCGTTTTGTCTTTGGAAGAACGACAGAAATTGTTCTCGACCAGAAGGAAGAATACCAGGCCCGCGACATACTGGCTCACGCCCAAATCGATGATGTGCATTCCACCGAGGTGGAGGCCCTCGATGGAAAACCCTTCGACGCCGAACAGCGGCGTCACGAAGTTCATTCCATACGCAGCTCCCCTGTAGAAGAAACATAACACGTCTGGGGTCTCAATGTTTGCTACAGTGGTGATGTCTTTCACGGTGGAATCCTCCAGCAGCCTCTGGCCCGTGCGCAAGAACAATTCTGGGAAGTCTTTATATAAGGCAAATCCGAAAAAATCTTCGTCCCACCGCATGCAGTCCAAGAGTCGGAGGAGCTGCGGCTGATCGTTGACTGTGCGCCGCGTCATTGACTTCCTGAGGGCCCGAGTGTAGAAGTTGTCATCGCGTGCCGCCCACGTGCACTGCTCCATCGTCAAAGGAAAGTCGAAAAGGTCCTCTCGCTCGACTGTGCAGCAAAAACATGGATTCCGGACACTATTCCAACGGGTAAACCCCAAGCTATCGATCATCTCCAACAGATCTGCGCGGTACTCGCACAGTGCACCACATAGCTTGTCTGCTGTCAAATCAAACCCTCGAAGATTGAAGCGGGATTCATTAGCAAAGGGTTGTTGGTCGTGGTCTTCTGGTGGGTACAGCCCTTTTGCTAGGCAGTTGAAGCTCCATACGATTATTCTCATCACAGCCATGAATGTGCAGAGGCCGCGGCACCCGCACTTGCACAAGTCACTCTTGCGCAGTGAGCATATGAGGTACCTGCGCCCCGACAGGGTGTTGCTCCAGTAGTGTGCGTAAAAGGAGTCGGACTTCGTATGTGGTACAGCATCACTAAAGTATCCGATCGGTACAGATTTAGCTCCGACTCTCTGAGTCACAGGATGGGAAGCATAGTTCATCGGAAGGGTATCCTGAGGCACACGTGAGACGTCGAACTCATCACGGGATTGTTGCACTGCTGCTGCGAACGATTCGTGGGGTAAGTTTATTGCAAATTCGCGGAGCTCGCGCTCCTCGGCAGTGTTGTTCCACATCGGCACCTTGGTAAGAAAAAAACTATCTTTCGCCCGCGCTCCAATGGCCTCCCGAAGATGTTCCGAATGACGCGAAGACTGCTCAGGCAATGCTAAATCTGATACACCAGCACCTCCAGCACGAGTGGCGTGCCACGCCGTCACGCAGACGTCTTTCGCCGTCATCAAACCTGCTTTATACCTTCCCAAGAGAAACGCACGAAGTCCATCGCCGCCATCGGTTTCAGACGACGCCTGCACGTAGGGCCGCTGGCGCGGCAGAGCCTGAGATGGAGACGAGTCGCCCTGGAGCACTTGGCTAGCAGCAGCCTCTCTGAATGACATCGGCCAGCTCTGGGCGCGTCAATTCTTACAGTGGCTCAGGGCGGCTCGAGCGACGAGAAGGCTGAAACACGATGGGGGCACATCACTGGCGTCTCGCGGCCAACGGAACAATCATCTATATAAACGATATGATGCGAACGAAGAGGCATGCCAGGAACCGTGGGTCAACCATCGATGTCATTGCAACCCCTGACTTCTCCTGGAGGTTAGCTCGGGAACCCGACTCCCGCGATCGTGGGCACGCACAGCGATGCACAACATACAAGGGTAAGACATGCATACATACAGTGATACACAACATGCAAGAGTAAGACACGGTACATCATACAAGAGTAAGACTTGCATACATACAGTGTTGCATAACATGCAATGGTACACTACATGTGGAAACAATCATGGCTACACATCCTGACTATAGATAGCGTTCGTGGCAAAGGATGTTGCAATTCACACAGACTCCTGCATGCGCAAGATGGGCAACGCATGTATCCAGGCGTGACTTTCAGCTCGCGCGGTCTGGAACGCGGGGTGCCCCCACCAGCGGCCGCGCAACCGCCGCCCCGCCGCCAAAAATTCAAACTAATCTGTGATGCGCAATGCCATGGACGGAGCGAGAGCACAGGCAATATGGGGAACACATGGGCAAGATGGCCGACAACGAAATGAACCACCAACGTCAAGACAATCATGGCAATGCGCATGCACGATGCGGCACAAGCTGCCCGTCGCAGGTGTCAAAACCTGCCCCTACTTGTTTTTGCCGCTGAGGTTGGACTGCGCCTGCTCAACCGACTTCAGGATCGGCAGCACGTTCGAATACAGCTTCGTAGCCTCGTCGATCTTCTTGCAGCTCTCATCGAAGAGGGCGTCAGACCTCCGCGGGCGCAACCAAACACGAGAGGGTGGAAGACCACAATTGGACAGCGGCATCACAGGTATTCAGCAGGGGAAAATCCCCTCACAGCTTAGCGTGCCCCTTCCTCCATCCTCCTGATCTGCCTTCCTCCTCCCCCTCCCCCCCTCGCCCTCCCACACAGCCCCTGGGGATCCAGGGGGGGGGAGGGGGGGGGGGGGGGCTCTGGCGGCAACATATCCCTCTGAAAAAAAATGTTGTCGTCGTGTGTTGTTTGTTGCTTGTTGGTTTAGTATGTGGTTCATGTATCTTTATGTTTGCCATTCTTATTATTTGGGAGGGTGGCGAAGGGGGTGGGATCGTGTGCAGAAGCCTTCCTCATCTTTCTCATTCAAAGCCAGACAACATTAGGAAACAAAAGCGACTTGTCTTTCTTGCCCTGCACGAGGCTCGTCAGGGAGGCTTGGGCTGCCACCAAGTCGGCCTTGCAGGTCTCCAGTTGGGTAGCCCACGGCTGGAGCCACGGCATCTCCTTCACCTGCGCTCCCCAATCGCAGTATATATAGGCGCCCACTGAATTGTCCGAAGTCTGTGCTATATCGTTGCTCGGTCACTACACGCCCATGTCATCAAGAGTTTCGTGCAGTGACCCGACTCCCTCGAGCCCCTTCATCCCCCTACCATTTTGCCTTTGCCCATCTTCCCCTTCTCTCCCCCTCCTTTCTCCTCACCTCACTCTGCGTCCTCACCTCCTCCCTCCCCCTCCACCCGCCAGATCCTCCTCATCCTTTTCATCATCCTCTCTTCCATTCTCTGGAGCAGTGATCGTCCTGCCCCGTAGTGGGTGGCCTTCCATCCACTCAGGATCGCCGACAGGTGCACTGCCTCACCCAACTTAGTCGAAGCAGCGCCCTTGGGAACAGCCGCTTCCTCAGCATCTTCGTCGCTCTCCTCGACTGGGGTTGCGAGGAACCAAAGACCCCAATCAGCAAACCACCATGGGGGAGGGGGTGGAGGGATCGCATCCTCGTCGATCTCTGTCGAGGGGGCGCAGCTGACGGCGACGTCTGCATTGTCGAATGCCTCGTCCCACTTGAGGCCCTGGATCTCCGCCTCAATCGCCTCCAGTTTGTCCAACATGTCTCTGGTCTCCTCACCGGAGCGCGTTGGACAGACTGGAGGTGTGGAGATAGAGTTCCAGGGCCTGGGTGAGTATCAGGGTGGCAGGGGGGGGAAACGCCAGCAGCAAACAGATCCAAGACATGGCGAATGAAAGTGTCAGATGGCAACGCGGCAAGTCAATAGGGTAGCCGCGGCCATCGTCCTCGCTCTCCGAGTACGAGTAGTAGCTCGAGCTGTCGTTCTCCGCCTGAGCTGCAGGTCGAGCGAATCACAGGGGCGACGACGACGGTCGACGGTCCACGGGCGACGACGACGACGATCCACGAAGACATCGACGACGACCGACGATCGACAGCGTTGTCGGAGACAATCACGATGTGGGTGCCTGTTTGACGGCATCTTCCCCGTATGCCATTTCTCGTCCGAGACCATTGCCGAGCCGTAGGTGTTTGCGCGCGGCCAAATCTGAATCTGTTTGGCAATGGACGTGACATGGCAAACGTGGAAAGATGCAGTCATTGCTAGCTGCTGGTTGTTGCTGCTGTTCCTCCTTCTTTCCCTCCCCCCATCGTCCTCCTCCATATCACCACATTTTATTATTATAATTATTATCCTCGCTCCCCCTCCCCCTGATCCTCATCGCCATTATCAGTTGCATTATTCCCATCCCCCCTCCTCATTGGTGGAGCCTTCACGTCGGGTCCACGAGACCCCGCAGGCTTGCTCAGCTGGTCTTTCTTGTGCAACTTCGTCTCCAGCATCTTCGAGTGCATCTGGAGATGCATGGGAAGCATCGTTTCCCGAGCTCTCCCATCCTCCCGTCAGCACCCGTTGCCATCTGAACTGCCATAGGCCTGGAATTCCGACGTAAGCAGTAGCAAACGGCCGAGAGAGCAGGGGGGTGACAGGGGGCGGGATCAAGGGGGACAGGGGATCAGCAAACAAATCGTAGTCCTCTGTCTCTTTCTCGATGGAGCTCATCTTCTTGTAGATCTTGTCGCCGTGCTGCGGGTCCACCTCCCCTGCCGCGGCTGAACCTCCCCCCGCGGTGCCCTGGGGCCAAGTGGAACTGGCCCCCATCACCTGCAGGCAATGCTCGCATGCAATGCCCAAAGCGTCCCCCCTCCCTGCAAACCCGGGTGGTCTTCATCTTCTCGTTCCACTCGACCGTGTTGTCAGCCCTCTGGATCGCCCTCGCAATGGGGGCATGGGCGGGAGGAAGGCATCACATGCAACAAGAGAGTGGGGGAACATCAGACTGAATCAACATGGCGATTGTACGCGTCAGTAGCGCATGCTGCTCATGGAAGGGGTCGGCAAACAAGTGCGGTCGCGCCTCAGCGACATCGGACTCTCAGGAGTCGCCTGGCAGTATCCGTACGAAATCGCGAGCTCGTCATATGTCATGTGCTCTGCTTGGAAGCCCGTCAGCGTACTGTTCGTGCGCCTCTCTACTTTGGCAGACTCGATGTGGTCGAAATTCCCCGGGGAGGAACTGGGGGGGAAGGATGAGGAGGACAGGGGAAAGGAGTGGGACGAGGAGCGAGGGGGATGTGGAGGAGCTCGAGGAGGTAATATCGATCTGGCCTGTCTCCAGCCATAGTTTCAGCCATTTGCGTTTGTTGTGCGGGCTGGCGTCGTCGAGGAACTGTTTCAGCTGTGGTTTTTTTTTTCATGTTGATGTGGTACCTGGACCACGCGCGCCCTCCTCGCAGGATCGTCGACGGGCCCCTCTTGGGGGGGGCGAGGGCTTAAGGCGAGGACGAGGGGGGGCCCACCCCCTGAAAAGACAACAACAACACATACCGCTCAGGAGTCAAGTCGATGGGTGGATCTGGCCGCGGTGGCGGTCTGCCTCCCAGGGTACCGCATGCGTTGCATCGCATTCTCGTGATCGGAACGCTCCTTTCGCTTCAGGTGAACATCTTCTTTGGTCTTCCGCGAACCGCTGACTCCAGCCTTTGCCAGGCGGGGGGGGGGGGGGGGGGGGGGGGGGGGGGGGGGGGGGGGGGGGGGGGGGGGGGGAGGACTGCTGCATGCGCAAACACGTCTCCGCCCACACTAAAGCAGGTGGAGGGATCCGAAGTCTCATTTGTACCCCCCCCCCCCCCCCCCTCAGGGAAAAGACCTTGTTTTCTTCTTCGACCCTTTAGGTGGCATCACCTCCCCTCGCACGCGATTAGAGCGGGTCGCGACGGCGCCCCTGCCCTGAGGAGAAGGGGGGCGGGGGGACGATGAGATGGCGAGGAGGGTAGAAGGGGAAAGGTTAATGAGCGGGAGGGCGTAGGGAAGGGGGAAGGCCCTAAAAGGGCAAGGGGGCGCCATGCGACCGTCGCCACTGCGGCCGTGGTCCTGCGCAACGAATCATCGGGCTTCGGGGCTGGCAGTTGGGCCGCGGGTGTTGGCCCAATCGGTCGACGGGTCTCGGGGGGCGTGTTATGTGTGGTCAAGTTTGTTGTCATCATGTATACGTGTAATTTGAAGGTGCAGTGTGAACATGGGGCGGTCGTATATAGCTAAAGTGGCTGCGTGCGTCTATACGCGTTGTGCACGTATGCAGGTAACGCAGACATGCATTTTTAACAGTTGTGTACGCATCCAAATATCAAGTGTGTATACATGTTGGCACACGCGTGTTTGAGTATATGCGTACGTGTTTGGGCATAGACATACACACATACATGTACATATACGTGAGTAAATGCACGTGCTTACGTAGATGTGCATATATATATATGTATATCTATATGCTTTCACGCTACAGTATCGCATGCCTCCATTCGTGCACACACACCCAGACATAGGTGTACACGTAGATATTGCCTGTATAACCGCGTGTATGTATGTCCATGTGCATGTGCACATATAGGCGCAGCGGAACCCATGAACGTCGCGCCGTTGTGTTGTACGCGGTGATGGCTCTGTATATGCGAGTTTGCGGTTCTCTGCGGCGTGGTGAGATCGGGTTCG